CATGCAGGAAGCCGAGGATTTTGTAAATGACCCAAAATCTACCCAGGGGGCAGTCACATCAACAGACACATAGAGGCAACTGACAAACCAGGGTGAGGGTCTTCCCAGTGCTGATGTGGACGGGCCCCTAGGATAGCATCAAAGAGGAAAAAGCCACAAGCAAATCCCATGTGCAAGAAAGGATGGATAGTGTTTGGGTAAAAGGGGGAAATGGAGACGCACGTTCACAACTTGGCTGAAACACCAGAAGGATTCGGGCAGGACACGCCCAGTGAGGACCAGACCCACAGTTACCTGCATGGGGTGCCTCAGGGCCTCAAGCACTGTGATCCGAGACGTCTCCCTCACCAGGGACGGCTTCCCCAGCCGGGCCTCAATGTACCGTCCAGCAACAGACGTGGCGTTCTTGGCAGAGTAGACCCCCACGGCCAGCAGTGTCAGCCCGGCCACCTAGAGCAGGGCAGGAGGAGAGTGGCACCCACCACCTGTTCAGCAGTCAGCAACGAGCCCTCCTCATCCCGTCCCGTGCTAGGTGACGGCAAGGGTCATACAGGAGCAGCCCCAAGCCCAAATCCTCAATTACACGAGACTGTAGATATTTCCAGACAGAAAACATACCAAAAAGCTTATCACAAGCCACTCTTCCTCACAAAGCTACTGGAGAATACATTCCGGCAGGACTAGAGGTGCTTCCAGGCGACAGGAACCCCAACCGTAAAGAGAGGAACCCTCAGGCTCACGGGGGACAGACCAAACATCGTGGTGGGACCACAATTACAGGGCACACGACCAAGACCTACAAGAGGCTCCTGGAAATTAAAAGCTCTTCCCCACAAGACCAACAGCTTGGCTACCACAGGGGCAGCGAGGACTCTGAGACCACATGAATGAGGTTCCAGGAGACCAGATGGCAACTGCAGTGACAGAAACAAAGGCCCCAGGGTAGCCCGCGGCTCCCAAATCCAGCAACCTTTGATGTCATCCAGCCTTCTCCAGCAACCAGCCCTCTGCGCGTCTACCCAGCTTGTTTGGAAAGTAAATGCAAGGGACATTTTCCCACAGATTCCTTCATGTGCCCAGATTCCCAGCCAAGGAGCCCTGCCAGTGGGCAGACCAGGACTGCCTGCCAGCCCACAGCACCACCCCAGCCCGACAGGGATTCTGGACTGAGATGCACATGAGACTCAGTCACTAACCACAGGTGTTTACAGCAGCTGGGGAGATCTGGAGAGATCTGAGTGCACGGGGTACTCAGACCACAAGAGGAATCAGAATGCCCTTAATTCACTTCAAAACACTCCAGGGAGGGGCGCCTGGGTGGTTCAGTCAACTTCTCTCCCCCTGTCCCACTCTCTCTCTCTCAAAATAAGTAAACTTTAAAAAATGTAAAATAAAGGGGCACCTGGGTAGCTCAGTCTATTAAGTATCTGAGTTCGGCTCAGGTCACCATCTCACAGTTTGTGGGCTTAAGCCCCCCAGCGGGCTCTGTGCTGACAGCTTCGGATTCTGTGTCTCCCTCCCTCCCTCTCTCTGTGCCCCGCCCCTGCTCTCTCAAAAATAAACATTAAAGAAAAACTTTTCTTACTAAAAAAAACAAACAGAAACAGAGAGCAGCACCAGGTTTGCTGGTGGGGAAGCAGACCACGTGGTTTTCACTCAAAGGGTCTCACTGCTTTGCTGGGGCTCTGCTCAAACCGGCCCCAAGGGCCTCTGACCAGCCACAAACAAGGTCATGCCACAAAAGCAGGACCCAGGGTTATGAGGAAGAAGGCAGACGTGCTCTAGGGGGTAGAAAGCCACCACGCATTTCACAAACTCCAGTGACAGGACCTCGGTTTTTCAGGCGGGCTCATTAGCCTCTTCACTCCTGCGATGCTCACCGTTCAATGGCCTGGTTCAGAAAAATAAGCTAGTAAACAAGTTCCCGAGATTTGGAACTAAGTTTATTTATTTTGAGAGAGGTAGAGACAGCATGAGTGGAGAAGGGGTGGAGAGAGAGAGAATCCCAAGCAGACTCTGCACCGTGAACACAGAGCCCAATGTGAGGTTCGAACTCATGAAATCGTGAGATCGTGACCTGAGTCGAAACCGAGAGTCAGACACTTAACGGACTGAGCCACCCGGGCGCCCCTCCGTAACCTTCAACTGTGAGCGTGAGCACTCCACGCTGAGGCTGTTGCAGGACTAAGCAGCTCTGAGGCGACCGGGCCTCCGCGTTAACGAAAGCTAAACTTCTTCCAGGAGTAAGCGAATCCCAAGGTTGATCTAAAGCTGCTAGTTCCACGAAACAACCGATCGGCAGGCTGACTGGCTCCGATACAGGCAGTGACATTTAGACTCTTCTACAAGACGCTGTCCCTGGCGCAGTACCCACAGCAGGTACTGAGCGCTTCCTGTGTGCCCGGCTGCGGCACAGAGGACACCGCATGAGCGCCACAGAGCTCCAAGGCGGAGACGGGCGACGAGGGTCGGAGGGAGACAAGCATGCAGGTAAGGCCTGAGGCTTAGACGCCGCACAGCCAAGCCCACGCCAGCTCTGTCCTCTAGTCTCAGACGGGTGCCCCCGCCCGGCTCGGCACCAGGAGAAGGCAAAGCCCAGACCCCGTGCTGGGTCTCCCTCCTGTGGGAACCCCAATCTGAACAGGGGTACCCAAGGGGGGGGGGGCGGGCAAGATGGCGTCCAGAGGAAGCCCGTTTTCTTCACCAGAACACCAGAGGCCATATTCTGGCAGCTCCCTGTGCTACGCAGGGAGTGGCGGGGCAGCCCTGTCGAGAAGCCAGAGGAACCGCTCAGCTCACCCAGCCCCCCGGGCTGCGGGCTGCATGACCCAGGGAGCCCGGACCACTTTCGACAGGGCTGAAACCCTCCGCTTCCAACCCGGAGTTACTCAAAACATGTTTGGGAAGACCATGTCAGGAGCCCCTGTTCGCCCCACGTCCCTGGCCTGAGCTAGAGGACTTGAGGGGCCATTTTAAGAACCAAGCGGTCTGACCAGCTTCAGGTTCCCTCGACCAGAGTCCTGGCCCTTCCCAGTCCAGTCCCTGCTCTCCCCAAGGCACGGCCTGACCTCACCCGCCCCCCCTCACGGTCCCCAGAACAAGGCCAGAACCGTGTCCACTTGCAGAAAGAGCTTCAGGAACCAGCACATCAGGAATGCGAGGGCACTCCTGGTCAGCACAGCTCCCTGCCACCCCTCCATTAGGGCCTCAGTACCGTGGGAGCAGGTGCCAAGTCACACCGTGCGGCCCAGGACAGCACCGGGCACAGTGGCAACAATCCCCTCCGCCTCGAGTGGGGAGCAGCCCCACGGCACAGGGCTCTCAGAGCACGTGCCTGGAGCCCTACAGCCTTGTTGGGCCTACCTCCGCTTCCCGCTGGAGGGGGGGGACCCTCACGGGAGCACGGCTCAAAAGGGTCCCCTGCCACATCTCCCGGAACCCCAGGGGTTTCGGCCGGGTCCCACTCCGGAGGCTGCCAGGCAGACTTCCGGTTCCCCTTTCCACGGGGCAGCACTTGTTAAGGACGAGGGAAAACGAAGCTCCCTTCCCACGTCTTCCAGCCCACAGGTCACAAAGCCCACCGCCAGTGCCCCACACCCAGAGGCTACACCACGCCTGACTTTCCCAGGAGCGCAGCAGGAGGGACCTGCCTGGCACACTTCCTACCCCTGAGCGCCAGGAGGCAGGGACACAACCCAGCAGAGACCCCGACGCAGGCCACAAGCAGGAGGATGTGTCAGGGGTTATTACCGTGGCTGTCACTTTGTCCCAGTCTGTCACGAAGGCACGGAACCCTTCACCAAACAGGGTGCCGGCTGTCCTGTAGAGAAAGCAGCAACGTGACCAGGAGAGGATGGATCTGGGCACTCAGCTGGAGAAAGGGCAAGAGCTCTGAAGCTCAGCACACGGGAGGGCCTGCTGAAAGAGCCCGCCTCCCGCCAGCGCGCCAACCGAGGGCCTCCTGGGGACTGGGCCTCACCTGATGGACTCCAGAATGGTCTGCCGGTGCTCAGCAGCCTTCAGGCGTATCTGCTCACGAATAATGTCTGCGTTCTCACGCTCGGCCTTGGCTCGGGCGCGCGCCTCGGCCTCCACCCGCAGCATCTCGTTCTTGTGCCGAAGCTCCATCTCCCGTTCCACGGTGGCTGCCCGGGGCGTGGCAGGAAAGGGGTGCTCAGCCTGCAGTCCCCCACCCTTCCAGCGAGGCCCAGGCAACCCTTCTCACAGGAGGGAGGCAATGCACGTCAGACCCTGGGGGGACGCCCGGCCTGCCTAGGCTTCTGCTACAAAGCTCCGACTAAGGCCAAAGAACGCAGAGCCCCCGTCGAGGTTTGGGAATTTTACCTGGGGATCAAAGTGCTTGAAGAAACACATATCTATGCCTACGGCCTGCTTTCCCTGTGAGCCAGCTCCAAGGATGTAGCCCCCAAGAGCCCCAGGCAGAACTGACAACCCTACCTCGCCGCATGGCCTCCTGCTTCTGCACAGACTCCTCCTGCTTCCTTAAATTCTCCTCGTTGAGAAGTTGCTGACAAGAAACCACAGGAGAAAGGGAAAAGCTTCCAAAGCTAGGAAATGACCAACATTGATCTAAGAGATCAGCGAGGGAAGCTTCTGCCACCACAGGGGCTCTGGACGAGCACAGCGAGGGGGCCCGGTTCAGAAGCTCCTGCCTCTGGCATAGCTCTGCCCCAGGGCACTCCCAGCCCACTCCCAGCTGCCCTCCAAACACTCTTTCCCCTGTTAAATTTATAAGCTGTGAGGGCGCAAAGCATGATGGGTGCAAACACTCGGAAACCACCCCCACCATAAATTTGTCCCAGCCAGGTCCCCAGTCAGGTCTCACACAGAAGAACCCCTCCAGCACAGCCAGAGCCTGGAGGCCCTGGGCATTGTGTGTGTGTGTGTGTGTGTGTGTGTGTGTGTGTGTGTGCGCGCGCCCCTCTGGGACCCGGCACTGACTGCTGGTAAAACCACCCTGAGTTCTGGCCCACCAGCTGCCCCAGAAGACGCCCGTGCTCTCAGGGAGGCCAAAGGAGGCCCCCCTCGCATGCCAGTGTGCTGAGCTCACCTGTTGCTTCAGCTGGTCCTCATAGCGCTGCCGGGCCAGCTTGTCCTGGTACTGGGCCCTCTGGGGAAGAAGACGGCAGCATGAACGCGGGTCAGCTGCAGAAGCTGGCGGACGGCCCCAAACCGATGTCGAGAGCCAGACTTCGCCGGGCCCTCAGACGAGCCGCCTACCTCCGCCTGCTCGCCTGGACACGTGTGCTCCCCGGCCCGCTCAGCGCGGACGTATTCGTGGGCGTTTGCACAAGGTCATCCCACGGCCTCGGGGGGTCACTAACAGACCCAGACTGAACGCGGGGACCACGGAGTACCCCAGAAGCTTCCCATCCTGGCCCCCCTGTGCCCGTGTGGCCAAGCGGCCCTTACAGCCTGGTGCTGCCTCGTCTCCTCGCTCAGAGTCTTTCTCCTTTCCTCAGCTTGAACGCGGATCTGCTCGCTCTTCAGCTGCTCCACGGCGGCCTCATATTCCTATAGAATACACCAGCTGCTGCAAGCCCAAGGCCGGCGGGGCCTCCCGCTCAGGACTTTGAGCTCAGGCCTCAACAACCCTCTCCCACATTCCATGTGGGCTCCAAAGGGGCCGGGACAGGAGCAGGAGCTGCTTCCAGAAGACACTCGCTGGACCAGCACCACTGCACGGGCACCAAGGCCCAGGAGGACCTAGACTCCCGGGCAGCCCAGTGGCGGGAAATCGGACAGGGCTGGGTCCCAAGGAGCAGGCCAATCCCTTGGGATGCCAGTCACTCCCTCCCCAACACCGCTTCCAAGGTGGCTTATGTCACATGCTCACATTTTTTTTAAGGTTTTAAGTAATCTCTACACCCAATGGGGGCTCAAACTCACAACCCCGAGATCAAGAGTCACATGCTCTTATGACTGAGCCCGCCAGGCAGCCCTCACATGCTCACTTTCTGACTACACTTTACAACAGCCAATGGCGGAGGGCAGGGCCCATGCCTTTGCTATCCTTCTCTGCTCAACGGGAAGGTCCTGCCAAATGCAGAGACACCCAGTAAGACTCTCCCCTGGGGAGACCAGATGGTCCTCACCTACACCAGCCCTTCCGGGTCGTTCTGCTGCAAGAACCCAAGCCACAAACCCAGCACGTCTTTGACCTCTCCGTATTTCCCTCTTAACCACAAGCAATAAGGTAATCCCAGAAAGGAGACGCCTGAAGCTCCCGTCCTGTGCCCACCACCCACCGTCCTGTGTCCCTCCGCCACAAGGACCGCCTCCGCTGGCACCACACCCACTACCCACCTTGAGCTTGGACTGCTGCTCCAGCTGCAGCGTCTGCTCCTGCATCTGTGCAAGACTCAGTGCCTCCTTGGCGTGTCCTGTGGGGAGCGGGCGAGTAGGGTCAGGACGCTCGGACACCAGGCAAGCATTCATGTGAACCAAGGGGCTTTCGGGGAGACCACAGCTCACCTCGACCTCGAAACACATGTGCCCACCTGCCTTCCCTGACTGGATCTTGCTTGGTGCCCCCTCGCTCCAAAGACCAGTACTCCCTTCTCATCACCTATGTCTGCTCTACGCCTGACAGAAAGCCCGTGTACAAGGTCTTGTACCCCAGCAGCTGTCACATCCCGGGAGGGCTCTATGAGAAAGGCTGTTCCAGGGTGCCGGGGTGGCTCAGTCGGTCAAGCGTTCGACTTCGGCTCAGGTCATGATCTCATGGTTTGTGAGTTTGAGCCCCACACTGTGGATCCTCTGTCCCCCTCTCTACCCCTCCCTGGCTCATGCACATGCATTCTCTGTCTCTCTCTCTCTCTCTCAAAAAAAAAGAAAAAAGGGGTGCCTGGGTAGCTCAGTCTGTTGAGCATCCGACTTCGGCTTAGGTCATGATCTCACATTCGTGAGTTCAAGCCCCGCGTTGGGCTCTGTGCTCACAGCTCAGAGCCTGGAGCCTGCTTCGGATTCTGTGTCTCCCTCTCTCTGTCTGTTCCTCCCCTGCTCATGCTCGTTCTCTCTCTCAAATAAATAAACATTAAAAAAAAATGTTTTTTAAGAAAAAAGGAAGGCTGTTCCACACTAGCCGAGAGTAGAAAGGTTAACGTGGCAGTCAGTTCCCGATTAAACAAAAAGGCACCTGTGGCTACAGTGTCTTATTTTTGTGGAAGTTGCTTAAACTCTTAAGCTTTTAAGCTTTCAGTACCTGTTATTATTAATCTACACGTGCAGATGATAAGATGAATAGGAAGCAAACAATTAAATTAGAAACAAGCCAATGCACAATGACGACTCTTCACAGACCTCGTGTTATAAACACACACGTTATAAATGTTTCCTGTGTATGTTTTGTTCACGAGATACAATTCACATCCATCAATATTTGGGGGTTCCAAAAAAAACCTTCTGGTGGGGGCACCTGGGTGGCTCAGTCGGTTGAGCATCCGACTTCAGCTCAGGTCATGATCTCATGGTTCATGGGTTCAAGCCCTGCGTCGGGCTCTGTGCTGACAGCTCGGAGCCTGGGGCCTGCTTCGGATTCTGTGTCTCCTTCTCTCTGCCCCTCCCCCACTTGTGCTCTGTCTCTCGGAAATAAATAAATGTAAAAAAAATTAAAAGCCTTCTGGTGCTCTCCTAGCCAAAAAAGCCCAGGCATACAGCTTCTCAAATATTTTGGTGATGACACAGTTCTCCCACCTGCAGTACTTTACTGTAAAAAATATTCTAACACATTAAAGCATGGCAAGAAGGTAGGGAATCCCTGTGAACCCCGCTCCCTGATGCTATAATGTACCTAGTTTTCTCCCTTTGCTTTCTTTCCACTCCCGCCCCATGATCTTTCTTTTTGAAGCCTTCAAAGTAAGTTGCAGACCCCAACACCCACAAACTGCAGCAAACACATAACTAAAGCATGACTTCTGTTTGCTGTTCCATAAACACATCTACACATTTAGAGGGATGTGACAGAAGCCCTGGCGTCTCTGGACAGACTGCTAGGGCATGTGGTGTGCAAAAACACTGCCTAAGCCTCGGAAGGACCTTCAGAGCGGGTCAGGACCTGGCTGACACAGCCTTCCAGACCTCACTGCAAGGCTCTCCCCTAGGTCTCTGGTGACTGGGAGCACAGAAGAGCTGAAGACCTGCCCCCAAGGAGAGGCAGCACAAAGGCACCAGGGTCCCATGCCCTGCACTGTAAACTGGGGAAGGCACGAAGCCGAGGCCTGAAGAGACCGCAAGGGCCCCTTTAACAATGAACTCTGACCAGGAGGGAGTGAGAGCACAAGAGTGCTCATCCTGGTGCAGCAGACAGGAACGTGAGTGCCACAGGCCAACAATGTGGAGACCAGGTCCCAGCTGCCCTTTTTACCCACAGCATGACCTTTGGCCAGCCAGGTTAACCTCACCTGAAAATGGAAAATTAGAGATCCCCCACCACTGACTCTTGAAAGAGGAAAACAAGAGAAAGAGGCAAGATGCATCCTGGGAAGAAGGGTTTGGGGACAGAAGGAGGTGACAGACCAGGGCAAAACCTCTCCCACTGGCCAGTAGTTCGGCCAGGAAGGATGGCAGGAAGAAGAAAAGTAGATGGGTGCCAGGCTGGCTCAGTTGGAAGAGCATGCAACTCCTGATCTTGGGTTTGTGAGTTCAAGTTCCCCATCGGGTGTAGAGATTACTTAAAAAAATAAAAAACCTTTGGGAGCACCTGGGTGGCTGAGTCAGTTGAGCGTCTGTCTCTTGACTTCGGCTCAGGTCATAATCTCACAGTTCGTGAGTCCGGGCTCTGTGCTGACAGTTCGGAGCCTTCTTGGGATTCTCTCTCCCTCTCTCTGCCCCTCCCCCACTCACGCAAACTCAATACACTTAGTCTGGGACTGGTGGTGTTCTAGCTAGACCTAAGGGTACAGGCTGTTTGAGTCCCAGGCCCAAATATCCATATGTTTTTAACGTCCCTCTGGGGATCTGAGAGCCAGGCAGGCTCAGAGACCTCAGACCAGGGTTTTCTTGGAGTCTCTGGAGAAGAGCAGGAATTGAACCACCAAGTGCCAGGCCTCTAATTTCTCAGACAGACCCTTGTTTACACTATGGCTTCTCTACACAAGTTCCTTTAAAGGGGGGGGGGGGGGTGGCAGACCTCTGCTTAAATAAAAATTTGACAGCCGTTATGGTCCTTTTCATCAGTACTTATTCTGTGTCTTCTACATTCTAGCTTCTCAAACACTTACACTACATCCTAAAACAAATCATTAAACCAACAAGAAAAAGGAAGAGTGAGAGAAAAAGACGTGGGCTTAGCGAAGGTCCAGCCCATGATGGTGCCTTGGGGGCCCGGGAGTCAGGAAGGCAGAGCCAGGACGGACTGACCCCTATTGCTTTACAGACCTCGACTGCCTGAACGCTGCTTTCCAATAACACGCACAAATCTGCTTCATTACCATAAAACCAACGGTCCTCAAGTGAGCTTGCCTTCGCAACGGGAAAATCGCTAACCACCACCACAATCTGGCCACGCTTTGGCCACGTGGAGGCAGCAAGAGGAGCAAAGAGCTCCCCTACTCTACAGTAACTAAAGACCAGGCTCCAGCCCCAGCACCTGCCACCTGTGACCTCTGAAACTTCCATCTGCAGCGGTCTCCTCACCTGACAGACGCGTGACAGCTTGGGAAGTTGCCAAGGATGATGGCATCCCCCACCTCCCCGCACCCAAGGCGGCTTTGCCAGATTTATTCCCGCAGACCAGTTTTCTCACCTGGGAAACGGGACTGCAGACAGCCACTTACCACTCGACCACTCAGACAACTGAGGAGCTACATGCGCCCAAGGACCCGGCATGCCCGGTGCTCGGTGGACGGGCTCGCTGTGAGTCCTGAGCTTCCCTGGCCCCTCGCCCCAGCCGGGGCCCCGCCCTCGCCGCCTCACTCACGCGAATGCTCCAGCTCTCGCGCCGCCTTGGCTGCACGTTCCAGGCCCGTCGGGTCAAAGTTGCTCCATTTGTCCTTGGGCCCCGGCCGGTCCCCCGCGCCGCGGTCCCCGCCGCCTTCGCCCCCGGGCTGAGCGGGCGGCAGGGACAGCGGCGGCCCCGCGCCTTCGCCCTTAGGGCCCTTGATCCCGAAGAGCCACGACATGGCGCGCGAGCGCCGCGTGTCGCGGCAGCCGCCCGGAGCTCAAGACGAGCTGAAGCGCGCGGACCAGAGAAGCCTCCACGAGGAGCCAGCCGGTGGTCAGAGCGCCCGCGCAGGCGCGACAACGCCCCTTCCTCCCAGACGACGGAAGCGCAGGAGGGCCACGTACCGCGTGGCCTTCGGATAGGCCGCGGGTATCGTGACATCATTGGTGGCCCCGCCACGATTGCTCAAACTAGCTCCGTCTGGGGGCGGGCCGTCGAGGGGCAGGGCGAAGCGCCGAGTTACGGGGGCCGATCGGGAACAAACCCGATGGGCTGGGCGCCTGTATAGCCTGGTTATACGTCAGTTCCGCCTAGCAACAGCTCCGTGTCCCGTCGCTATAGGCGCCCGGAGAATCCCGTCAGAGCCGGGGCGGAGAGGCAGGTGCCGCGGAGCCCTGGGGTCCTTGGTACGCGGGTGTGGACGACGCGGCGGTGAGCCCCGGATGGAGGGAGCGGCCGTGGGGGAAAGGTCCTGCGGAAGGCGGCTGATCCGCGAAGGAAAATCAGCCCGGGGCAGGTGCGCAGCTGGGCCTCGATTCTGCGCCCCCGACCCGCCACCAGAGACACGACTGGGCGCGGGGACGTCGGGGCCCCTAGACGGTTGAAGCCGCGCTCCGCGGGTTTCCGTGCTAGCGCACATAGCCGGCCCATAATAAGGTGCTGGAAGGGTAGAAACGCGGTTCCTAGCCAGTCTCCTGCAACCGCCATTAGGTTAAAGAGCCGGCTGGAGAACAAGCTCTCCCCATCCTCCGTTTCGGTGTCTCGGCAAACCACAGCGGTCCGTGGGCGTATGAGCCTTCGTATCACTTAAAAGTGGCTCACAATGGGAGGGAGACGGAAATCGCAACCCCAGAAGCGTGGAAAAGCAGAGCAGACCCCCCCCCAAAAGCCCCACAAGAGGGCGCCCTTGCTGGAGGAGGAATCCTGGCTTCTTGGGAAAGTCCAAAGGCCACGTGCCTGCTTCTGGGACAAAGGGCCAGGCTAAACCCGCCTGGGGCAGAGGGAGAAAAAGGTGGACCGAGCCCTGCGTTGCTCTAGAACCCACAGTGCCCAAAGTTAGCAAACTTTGCTTCTTGGGCCAGCAACCAAGTTGCCCCTTTGGTCTTTCTTTGATGGAATTAAGGTTGAGTTCCCAGAATTACACAGTTCCCCACTAGACTGAAAACAATTTTAAGCCTGAGTAAAAATGGGCGGGGGGAGGGGGGATTAAAGATAACTCTGTGATCTTTCATCTCCAAATGAAGAGAAAACCAGATGAGTTCTCCAGCCAGATGCCCCCGCCCCCGCCCCCACCCCAGTGGCCATTATGGAGGTTCTTACGGACTAGCACAAACTACCAAGGTTCTTATGGAGAGCAACCCTGGTAGGGCTTCGCTGGATTAGAAGAGGAAATGGGTAAGAGACGTGAAGTCCCTGTCCAAACACAGCTGGGCCATGTGCCCCTCTCTAGCTCCAACCATCCCAGACCAATATTTGGCAAGCCTGTGTACTTTTACGTAAAAAGGAATCACTTTGAGAATAAAGTTATGCATTTAAAAAGCCAGTTTCAAATAAATAAAGTCAGTTTCATCTGCCTTAACTTGAAAAACAGAAAGAGATGATTGTTTAAGGATTTAGATAATTGCATTCCCTTTGACAAAGGGGTCTCCTCCAGTTTCCCTCATCCGAGGGTGCTGTGCTTTCCAAACAAAACATCCAGGCCACTGGATTGTTTGTCACTTATGATCTTAGACTGGGAGCCATTGAGGAGGCTTGACACACCTTTCCTAAAACACTAAGTTAATAAAAGGGAATTATGGGACCGCCTGGGTGGCTCAGTCTCTTGCATCCAAGGCTCTGGTTACGATCTCATGCTGAGTTCCTGCTGACAGCTCAGAGCCTGGAGCCTGCTTCAGATTCTTTGCCTCTGTCTCTCTCTGCCCCTCTCCTGCGCGCTCTCTCTCTCTCTCTCAAATGAATAAGCAGTAAAGAATAAAGGGAATTATGATGATGCTTTCTACCTGATGCATTCACATTTAACTGACAAATGTAGGGTTCTCTGCTGCTTGTGCTGTTTTGCTGACAGATTCCCTGATAGCCCCCTCCCACAACATGTGGCTTTCTTCTGTGAGGGCGTCCTTCAGCATTGACAACCTGGAGGAAAGACTGCTGAGCTCGGAGGTGCAGGTGGACAGCTTGGCCTCCAGCCTGTCCTTTAGTCCAAAGAGTACGCTATGCCCCTGGGAAGCCAAGCCAAAAGGAGCAAAGTGGCCCCACCCAGGCCAAGTGCAGAGTACTCTGCCCCTAGCGCCCAGGCAGTTGGTGTGGTTTCTGAGTCCACCCGAATTTGGCCAGACCTCCGGAGAGCTACACAGCACACCAGAGCCATGGCCTACCAGTATGGCCCACAGCCCCCCACTACCCAGCCCCAGGGTGTCCCATCACCAAGACTGTGGCTGCTGACTGCTCATCCCGCCTGGTGTCTCCCACCAACAGTGCCTCTGCAGAAGCTCGGCTGCCTAAACGTGGAGCCTCTCGTGGGGTGGGCCTGAGGCTGCTGCTGCCCCCAGCCCCCCTCCCCCACCTCCATATCACATTTAAGGCCCCTAGGTCAGCCGGGCCTTCAGAAGTAAAGGGGTGGCTCCCTCTCCCATTCTCTCTCCAGCTTTCCGAAAGGAGCTGCCAGTTCTGGTGTTGCTCACGGTCACCCCAGTCCACACGCACCCCATACCCACTCCCACTGGGCAGACCCCAGCCCAGCCAAAAGAAAAGCTGCCTAGCCCGGCCTTCTTAGGCCCAAGCCCCCAGATCTCCACAGGGCCCCTGCAGCTCTTTCCTGTGCTTCCAGAAGTTCGGAAGAGGTAATGGGGATTGTAGTGCTGAGCCCTCAGATGAGCTACCTTGGGCCCAGGGCTGGAAAGGGACTCAGGACTGAGCCTGAAGCTCACTGTCCCTCCACCTTTGTCTTCCTGAGCAGTGTTTGCTTGTAGGTGAGCATTTGCCTACTCGGGTGCCCTGGCCTACTGTCCTCTCCCCACTGGAGACCTACCTAGCAGAAGGTCCACCTAGCAGAAGGTCAGCGCAGCCAGGACATCCCCAGGGGCACCTGGGGTGGGGAGCCCTCAGCACAGGCACTGGGCTGCCTGCCCACGCTGCTGGCAGGAGACCCACTGTGAGCACTGGCCTGCCCCTCGTGGGACTGAGCCGGGACCTCCACCTTCTCACAACAAAAGCAGGGTCAGATGCACAGTCTGGACAGACCTTGGAAGCAAAGTCGCATGAAGCCATGGCCACTGAGGGAGACCTGGTGTTCTCTGCGAGGGGCTGTGAGTGGGCACACATCTGCCACACGATACAACCGCTTGTTTTCTTGTCCTAACCAGAAGTGATCGCAGCACAGACCTTTCTGATTTTCACGTCAGTGTCAGAAGCTCATACTTCCATGTGTCACCTGACACACAGTGACATGTACTAGTTCCTGTAGGTGGCAGTCTTGGCCCCAGACCCAGTGTATATTGAGGAGACAGGGCCTGTGTCTCAGGGGAGGGAGGAGCAGGGTCAATGTTGGGGGCGGGAGGAAACCAGGACAAAACTTTCCTGGAGATCGTTCCCAGACATGGCCTGGACCCATCAACCTTTAAGTGCTGCCTAGGACAGGGACGCCTGGGTGGCTCGGCTGGTTGAGCATCTGACTCTTGATTTCTGCTCAGGTCATGATTTCACAATTGTGAGATCGAGCCCTGCACTGGGCTCTATGTGGAGCGTGGAGCCTGCTTGGAACTCTGTCTCCCTCTCTCTGTTCCTCCCCAGCTTGCACGCTCTCTCTCTCTTTCTCTTGAAAAAAGAAAAAAAGGAAAAAAAAGTTAAAAAAAAAAAAAAAAAAAGGAGTTGCCTGGGACGGTGCAAAGGGCTTCCAAGGGAGGGCTTCCAGGAGAGGTGCTCCGTGGCACAGAGACAGGAGCGGGGGCTCCTCTCCCTGGCCTCGGTGTCCAGCAGTGAGGGGGCGAAGGCTGGAGCCTCTTCCAGGGGCCAGGGCCACAGGTCTTTGGCCACTCTGCCCTCCCTTGGGATTGTAGGTGTGTTTGGAGGCAGGAACTCGTGTGTCTCAAGTGCGTGACCGAGCTATTAGGAAGCCACCCACCAGCACTCTCCGGCTTTTCCTCCTGCAGCGTGCACGGTGCTCTGGAGGCTGGACTGAGAGGCTCAGTGTGGAGGGGGACCTCTCCGGGTGCCCGACGGGCTTGGACCTCCAGGCACCCGCGACATCAGGGTGGCGGACATTGGCATATGGAGAGTTCTGGCCCAAGTCCCAGCCCCGGGGAGGATTCCCCTCCCCGGCCAAGGCTGCCCGGGACACTGTTGTTCGCACCCACCACCCTCGGAGGGGGCCAGGTGACTCTCGGCCACCCGCTAACTACAGGTCAGAGCGTAAACAGACACCCGCAGCGGCACACACGGGCCGCACAGTCCCACTTGGCTTCCCTGGGCCTGATTCCAGGGGCTTGTGGGGACATGTAGGGGAAACCCCACGCCCACTCGGCGCTGGCCTGGCCGGGCACTACCATCTGCTCCTGGGACCCAGGACCCACAACCGTAGCCCCCCCCCCCCCCAATCTGCTTGCCGTGGCCACACGGGCAGGGCAGAAGCCCCTTGTCTCCTATGCCATGTCACACAGGCACACCGTGGGCCCACCGCAGCAGGCCTCCACAGATGTTAAATACACCGAACTGGCGGGCAGTGCAGGCCCTAGGTGTTTAAGCGGGGAGCCGCCGGATTCTTGGGAGTCTGGTTCGTGAAACATGGCGGAGGCCAGCACCACTGAAGGCTGCCGGCAGCGCACACACCCCCACCACACCCGAGTGGGCAGACCCGGAACACGGCGTCTCCGCCCTGCAGTCGCGCGGGTGAGGGAGGGCCTCTATTTCCCAGCAGCAGGCAGCGGCCGAAAGTGAGACTGCTGTTGAGGGAGCGGTCTTGCCAGCAGAGGGCGCCACAGCCCCGGCCCCCACCCGGGTCCGAAGGCTGCAGTGAGGGGGCAGCGCGGCAGAACCCGGTCCCTGTCCGGGCTGTTCAGCTCCAAACGCCGCAGTCC